CAACGATGCCGCGCAACGTTCGCGTGACGATGCCGAATTAATTGCCGTCCCGAATGACGCGTACGCAGAAGTAGCGCGAACTTTGTTACGAACCATCCAATTTCTCCCGATGCCAAACCGCCGAAGAAATAAATAATTGGCGAACGTTATTACACTCGCATGTCAAATCCCCGTCGTATCTTTGTTTGCGAGATTGGCCGGTTGTATTATGCAGGAGGATATTTTTAGAGCTCGAGTCTGACAGCGGCAGCTTTCTCTTTCTTCTTGTAGACACATTTTACGATGACTCTGTTTCACCCGCTTAATATTTTATAATTTAAACTAATTAAATCTATACCGTACAAGGCGTGTTTCGAACCGCCCGAATCGATGTAAAAGACGCTTGTCAACATTAAAATTAATGTTTGAAGTTTTTGCGCTTAAACGTCATCAGGCGAAACTAGAAATTCACCCGACACGTTGATCGTTTTAAAGTAAAGGAATAAATTTGTCGTAGGCCGAAGCATGACCTTTTTTTTTTTTTACACATCGAAACTGATTTTCTACATTTTTCCATATGTTCGATCCCTCGCTCCCACATTTCCGTTTATTGCATCCGGATCTTAACTCTTTCGTTTCCGCGATAACGACCGAAATGTTCTCTGGGCGCGGTAACCACCCGATGCATATTTTTCGAGGCACCCAGTTTATCGGTATGCGTGCTGATCTCGCCGCGATTGCGATGCAATGATTAAGCGCATGCAAGCTTGTGCCGCTTGTGCGAGGGCCGCATGTTACTTGATATAATGGCACGCTTAGGCACCGTGACTTTTTTCAAACTTATCCCGATTAGCCGGGGTTTCTGCGGCTCGGACTACCCGGAATCGTTCTTACCGCAGGTAAACGTGGGCTGCAAATCTGGCCGGAAATCTTATCTTCCGTCCCTCTCCAAAATGTAGTTGAATCTCGGTGTCGAAAATGCGAGGATTTTTTAATTTCGCATGCTTAATTAAAAAATGTTTAACAGTACGCTTAAGGGAATCGTTAACGGACGACAGACAGCGAAACTTGAGATTCTACGATGGATGATTACATGTAGTGTATTTCTATTCTGCACACTAGACACGATATACTTTATCCAGGAATGCATTATTAATTAATCTTCTACTAGTATCTCTTTATATTTGAACCTCTATCTAATTTCAATGTTTGCATCCCCAAAATGTAGACGCTGTAGCACAACTGTACTCAGCCAATAGTATAGTTAACACGTTCACCATTTATATATTTGTATATTAAATTGACGGAATATTGTATGTGTCTAATGCGTTAACGATATATGTTAACTAGTAGTATATGATTAAAACATGGATAATATTGATTCTATTTTAATAATTGACAAGTTAATGCGCCGTAAAAGCATGAAGAATCATAGTTTTACTGATACTCTGAAATGAATGAACTAATTTATTGTAATTAAACAAGAGAAAGACACTCCCTGAGGATCGAATAGCATGGTATCGTACAGCCGGAGATACGTGAAAATATATGAAAAGTACATTGAAAATATTTATCATGAAATAAAAATATGATTTGTTGCGAATATCGGAAACGCCGCAATTTGATATTGTTTTTAAAATCATAGCCGCAGATTACAGGATTTTCCAGAATTTAAATCGTTGAGATGGAAGATTTTTAACATTTTTTTTCTTCTTTTTTATTTGGAAAGATAATGAATTTTCTGAAGCACAGTTTCAAAAACATTGACCTAAAGAGAATATATATCTATAA